AGGCGGGGAGGGTCTGCAGCGCGTAGCTGGGCCCCTAGGACCGCGGTGTCGGCAGGGCTAGGCGTTTGCGAAGGCACAGCATTCTGCAAAGGGAAGGGACACAGGCAGCAGGCAGGTGCACACCCGCCGTGAGGGTTCCATAGAGGGAAGACACGGGCCCCTAGGGAGGTGAGGAGACCCTTCTGGGTGGAAAATAGGGAAAAGATAAACTGGAGTTGGGTGTGTGTGTGCGCGCACGCACACATACACACACACACACATACACACACGCTACTAATTCTGGAACTCTACCCCAAGAGGCCCCCCAGATGAGAACTCTAGATCTTAGTCCCCTCCTGATGAGAACTCTAGATCTTAGGCCTTAAATCTGTAGACCCAGTTAGAGGTCTCACATTTAGCTCTTTTGTTCTCCCAGGAGCTACTTGATAAGAAGGATATTAATCTATTCAGCAAATGAGGTAATAGAGTCAGAGCAGATTGGTTATTTGCCCAGGTCAAACACTGAGGAAGCGAAGGCAAAAGTCCCAGTTTCTAGAGACCTAATTCTGAGCTTTTTTCAAAGGATTCTATGCATTTCTGATAGGAAAAGCAGTGTATTCTGATATAAAACCAGTTTCTTCCAGAATTTGATTCTTCAGAGAGAGGACAATGACAATTATCCCCTTATTAACCAAGAAGGTTCTGGAGACACAACTGAATTGTTATTTGTTGAAGACCTCACAGGACGTGGAGATGGAGAGTTGTAGGTTCTACCCACTTGATCTGACTAAAGCCTATTTTCTGGAGTCCTCAATAACAAGAGTCCATCCCCATGCAGCAGGTACCATGTAGTTTTCCAGTGACTCTTGGTGGATGTGCAATTGTTGATCAGTAATACCTTGAACTCTCAAGTGAATTTACTGGCACTTTGACAAAGTTGGAAGTGCATCCTCCAAGTAAGAGTTCCTAGTCATCACAACATAGAGCTAATTATGCAGTTGTCAAGAATGCCCAGGTTAACAAGACAAAGAATTGTAGTATCATAATACTAATTCCTTAAATCAGGAGTCCAGCATTTTGATAGGACATATTAGAGAGAAACAAAGATTATACATTAAACCATTGCATAAATAAAGTATAACAGTTCAGAAATTAGAGTCCTGAAGTTAGAAGGAATATTCCAAAAGGGAAAAAAGTAGAGCAGGAGAGGGGTGAGCCTGGGTCTAGAACTTCCTAAGAATTGTTCAAAGGTAACATGAAATTCCTTATTTGGTTCTTATAATCTAAGAGAAACTGGACAGGAGCCAGTTATGAAAGCTGAAATTTTTTTTTTTTTTTTAGGATTCTGAATTCTTTGGGGCTTAGAAAATAACAGGCAGCAGTTAGGAAATGGAAGATCCCATTCTCATGCCAAAATCAAAATACAAACAGGAGTGACCATTAAATGGGGAAAATATATATATGAAAGCTGTTTTTTTTTTTTTTTTTTTAGGATTCTGAATTCTTTGGGGCTTAGAAAATAACAGACAGCAGTTAGGAAATGGAAGATCCCATTCTCATGCCAAAATCAAAATACAAACAGGAGTGACCATTAAATGGGGAAAATATATATATATATATATATATATATATATTTGTGTTCTTTGCTTTCCTGCCTCCTATTTCCTTCTAGATTCATGTCTGTGTGGTCCTTTTGTCTTTGAGCGCATTTTACAGTGACATTCTATATGATTATGGTTATATCGAGCAATCAAAATGTCCTTTTTCTACTCAGTTCCTGTTTATCCTTCACACTTAAAAATTCTGCCTTTTTCCGTTTGTTGTTTTGTTTTTGTTTTTTCCCTCCTTAGGTGCTCAGGAACAGCCCATGGAAGAATTATATGAAGAGGTGGTGATTAAGATTATAGAGCAGGAGTGGACATGTTTGGATTTCCAACAGCTACCCTGCTGGACTGTCATGGAAGATATGCCCAGAATGTAGCATTTTTCAGTGAGTGAGTCCGCTGGTGGCTGGGATGTCTTCTGCACACAGATACTCAGAGTCCATGTCCTCAGCACTGGTCCTCAGTCTGAGGAAGCAGAGGAGACGTTCCTTTGATGGAGCTCACTGTTCCTAGGGGTTACAGAAAAAGCCTGCAAGCTAGAGGGCTATGCTAGCCCTCGAATGTGTAGAAATAGTCAGAACAGAGCAAGAGAACAGTCTGGACATGGAGGTAGACTCAAAGTAATATCAGAATGAGTGAGCACCTTTAACAGTCAGCACTATCACTGGATAAGAATAAAGCAGGAAATAAGGAGAAATTTTCCATAGGGAAAAAAAAAACAGTGATGAATGGATCCATATTTAAAGCACATAAGAGGCTCAGATACAGGATGGTATTGGAAAAGTCTATTGATACCTACATATGAAGTTTAAGAACAACTTCCAAACCAAAATTTATTTTAGTTCCACCATAGCTTAAATAAACTAAAAATAGTATGGATTTTAAAGGAAGGAATTTGTTAGATTCTATAATTTTCTGACTATATTTTAATATCAGATAAGCTACGTAACTTCCTTAAGCTCCAGGCCTTCATCTGTAAAATGGAACAATGAGCTCTGACTTGTACAGTTGCAGGTATTAAAGACAATAGATGTATAAAATCTAGGATTGTGCTACATATTTTCTAAGGTCATAGCGCTTACTCCACTCTTAAGAGCAAACTTAAGGAATAGGGTGGAATTGGGTTGACTTTTCATGGAACTAATACAGCTTGTGTGTCTGGAGCCCTTGCATGCATTGGTCTCTTCAGGACCCTTTGCCCAATTTTGTACTTTTTTTTAAAGGGGTACCTCTAAAGTTTTAAAGCTTTAGACCCTTTACATCCTGGAACCACACCTGTTTAGGAATCAGATAAAGCTTGAGTACAGGGCTCTTGTGTGATCCTGTATGTTTTCCTTGATTTTCAGAGCCTATTTTCTTACCTACAAAATAGAGGTAATTTTGTCTACCTCACAAGATTATTCAGAAGACTAAATTAAATGTAGAGGCAGTACACAGCTATAGAGTATTCCAGTGTTTGAAACCCACCTCCAACTTATTTAGCTACATGGTCTTGACAACCTCCCTATGCTCTCTTTTCCTGATCTGTAGCAATCCCATAGGATTAAATTATTCCAGGATTGAATTATCTATGCAAAGTTCATAGTCTAATGCCTGGCACTTAATAAGCACTCAAACGATTGTGTTTCTATTTTCCATATTCTTCTCACTCAGCATATTGGTACCTCTTACATGACTTCCCTCTCATTTTATCAGATGTGATGACAGAAGCTCACCACAAATATGATCACTCTGAGGCCACAGGATCCTCAAGCTGGGATTTCCAGAATTCTTTCAGAAGAGAGAAGCTGGAACAAAAATCCCCAGATTCTAAGACACTACCGGAAGATTCACCTGGAGTGAGACAGAAGATCTATGAGTGCCAAGAATGTGGAAAGTCCTTCAGGCAAAAAGGTAGTCTAACATTACATGAGAGAATTCACACTGGTCAGAAGCCCTTTGAGTGTACCCATTGTGGAAAAAGCTTCAGGGCCAAAGGCAATCTTGTTACACATCAGCGAATTCACACAGGAGAGAAGCCTTATCAGTGCAAGGAGTGTGGGAAAAGCTTTAGTCAGCGTGGTAGTCTGGCCGTCCATGAGAGACTCCACACTGGACAGAAACCCTATGAGTGTGCCATTTGTCAAAGAAGCTTCAGGAATCAAAGTAACCTTGCTGTTCACCGAAGAGTTCACAGTGGTGAGAAGCCCTATAGATGTGATCAGTGTGGAAAAGCTTTCAGTCAGAAAGGAAGCTTAATTGTTCACATTAGAGTCCACACAGGTCTAAAACCCTATGCCTGTACCCAGTGCAGGAAGAGTTTCCACACCAGGGGGAATTGTATTCTGCATGGCAAAATCCACACAGGAGAGACACCCTATCTGTGTGGTCAATGTGGAAAAAGCTTCACTCAGAGAGGAAGTCTGGCTGTGCACCAGAGAAGCTGCTCACAAAGGCTCACCCTTTGACCATTTTATTCAAAGGAAGTTTTATTTCTGAATTAAGGGTACAAAACCCTCTGTTATTGAGCTGCATATCCAGTTCTATGGAATGAATGGAGAATATTCTAGGAAGACCAGTAGGGCAAACAAACTTTTTTCCTTATCCTCAGATGAGTATGAAAAATAAATGTCTTGTTTATCATTATCATGTATTTTTCATAATTTGTCATGTATTTTTCATATTTTGACTTAATTTCCCAGGGTACCCTCATTAATCTAGAGTCATACTAGAGATTGAGTATAGTAGATACAGATTTTAAATTTGTATTTGACACCATCAGCCTTTAAAAATATCAGCCCCTAATCAACCCCAAGGTCATTTTCTTCTCTACATATTCAAATTAATAATTGTTTTGCATTCAAGACCAGTAGGTAGAACACAAGGGGCAAATTTAATTAAGAATTCTCTTTGAACATTTCATTACCTGGATAATGAATCATTACCCCAATAACCTATTCTAAAAAAACCACTCTGTCCATAGCAGAAGCCTTAGCCTTTTCTTACAAAAGAAGTTTCCTTTCCAAGACTACAAAGGTTTGGAGTTTGTATGTTAAAGATTTCCTTCAGTTCTCCACTTCTAACAGTAATAATTTGCCTGTACCTAAAGATCTGACAAGTACAACTGTGCTCTTTTGAAGAATCCTGAACTGATTATTATGCCCTCTTAAAGGGACTTCTGTTCTCTGAAAAACATAATGACCCTCCCTGCCACTTTGGCAACAATAGCAACATATTGGGGTTAGGATCACTTAGAAAGGACATAAGTGTCCTTATTACTAAGCCTAGACTTTTAATTTATAGTCAATTATGACATCCCACTCTTCTAACAATACTATCCTTTTCCATCTACACACAGAAAATAAATTTGGAAAGATAATTTGTTCTTTATTTTTTTCCCTCTAGTGTATGAGATTTGAAGAAGGTTGTAGAGAAGTTGGTTTTGTGAGGAATTTAGACTTCTAAATGCCAAAATTTCATGATAGCAAATCTTTATGATCTAGAGAAGTAAATGAAATCAAAGGGCATTATGGATTTGATTATTTTAAAAAGAGTAGTACTCCCAGAGACATTCTGATAAAACTTGAAGATGTATGCAAGATTGTGATAATATCCTCATTTATGATAATCACACACTAGAAATTACACAAATGTCCAACAACAGGTGGGGAATGAACAAACTGTTTAATATACATACAATAAAACAATAGCAAAAAAAATCTGATATTGGCAACTTATGACTGAATTTCAGTCCAATGTTGAGTGAAAAAAACCTAAATACACATACATGCAGATATAGTGTATAATTCCATTTATATATCTTCACATGAAAAAATGGGAATGATTTAGAACAGACACAAGAATTTTTTAAAGTGTTCTATACCTTACTTCAGGTGGTATATGGAAGAGTATAATTGTTAAAATTCATTGAAACCAACACTTGAGAACTATGCATTTTATTATATGTAAAATATATATCCATATCAATGAGTCAGTTCTTAAATATAAATATTGCCCACAGGTTCTTTGACACTAATTCATGAAGAGATGGGGTAAATATCACCTTCCTTTTTTCTGGATTGGCTGGTGACTGCTTCAAACAATAGAAACAACAAGTGATGCTATATCACTTCCAAAGACAGGTCTGAAAAGCCCTTAAAAGTTTTGAAACAATTGCTGGGTTCTCTTGGGACACTTGCTCTTGGGGATCAGCCACCTTATATAAGAACGGTTCAGAAACCACTATAGTACACAAGGTGCATATTAAGTGTTGCAGTCAACAGATTGAGCTGAGCTCCCAATAGATAGCCAGCATCAACTCCCAGCCACAGGAATGAGTTACTGCAGATGTTCAGCCCAGAAGAATCATCAGATTACTATAGCCTCGGCTGAGATCTGATCAATACTGCATAAGAGATTCCACAGTGTCAACCCACAGTGTCATATCTACACCATTGACTAGAGAATGTCCCCTCTAATCAATAAGCCCATTCATGTAGTAGCAGAATGCATTTCTTAGTGGTAATAGGATTGAGGCTCCCTCAATCTTACTGGTACTGGCTGAAGTTTGTCCTAGGGCCATCTCATGTTCTCAGCTACCACATGGCAGTTTGCTTCTTTAAGTCCAACAGAAAAAAATTTCTCTTTCCAGTCTGCTAAGAATAGTCTTATGTGATACAGCTTAATCATAGCAGTGACATTCAATCATATTTGCTATTCCCTGTCAGCTTGAAATGTTGGTTCTACCCACACTCAGGATTATACAAGGGCATGACAGATTGGGAGTAACTTTAGTGTAATCATTTTCAAGGGCTTCTAGAACAAAGCATTACAATCTAGGCACCTTAAAAACAACAAAAACCTATCATCTGACAGTTATGGAGGCTAGGAATCCAAAATCCAGGATGTCTTCAAGGTCATGCACCATCTGAAGCTTGTTGGGCAGAATCCTTCCATGCCTCTTCTTAACTTTGGTTGGTTTGCTGGAAATCTTTGGTGTTCCTTGACCAGCTGCAAGACTTCATTTTCTTTCTGCATATGTAGTCACATGGTGTTCTCCCTCTGCCTGTGCCTCTATGTGTCTTTTTTTTTATATGGACACCAGTCATTGGATTTTGGGCCCATCCTATTCTACTCTGGCCTCATTTTAACTACTTAAATCTGCAAAGACTATTAACAAATAGATAACATTCTGAAGTATTGGGAGATAGGACTTTTTGAAGAACACAAGTGAACCCATTACACTTACCATGTGTCTACCACAGTATCAAAAACATTACTCTGAAGAAATTCATGTAGTTGTAACCTAGTGGTACTCCAACTACAGTTCAAGGGCATCAGCATCACCTGGAAACTTGTTAGAAATGCCAATTATCAGGCACAGATAGACCTATTGCATCAGAAAATGCAGGGAGGCAGAAAAAAAAGGGACAGCAATCTGTTTTAAAAAGTATACATAATTTGACTCCCAAAATGATTAGATTCTCTAGTTTGGGGAGTCAAACAACCCAAAACTCAAGGGTCTGGGGATGTGGCTCAAGTGGTAGTCCACTGGCCTGGCATGTGCGAGGCACTGGGTTTGATCCTCAGCACCACATAAAAATATTGTGTCCAACCCAAAACTCCTTTTAAGACAAAAGAACATAAAGAAAAATCTCAAATCATAAGGAAACCTGGAATGTCCTACCCTTTACAAAGAGCATCAAGAGAGTACATCCGCCTTTTCCATGCCCAATTCCTGATTGCTGAATTTTCCATTCAAGATTCAATGCCACCATAGATGATAAAAAGTCAATGTGAGCGGCTGGGGCTGTATCTCAGTAGCAGGGCACTTGCTTAGCATTTGTGAGGTACTGGGTTTGATCCTTAGCACCACATAAAAAATAAACAAAGACATGCTGTTCATCTACAACTATCAAAAAAAGTGAGAGACTTTTAAAAATAGTCAATGTGAATAAATAAATACAAGATTTCTGGCCTAATTTTGACTTCAAGTCAGAGGGAAGAGCACAGATCAGCCATAGCACCAAAAAGTCCGACATAACTCAAATGTTAACACTTCAATCTTCCCTTTGATCATCAGCACAAGCCTCTCCCAAACTCTTTTACCAGACCACCCACCAAGACAGCGAAAACCAGAATGTCTGTGGCCCTGTCACTGGTTATTACTTTTCTTCACTTGCATTCATGGTCATTATGATGTCACTGCCATAGGATCAGGAACACAGTAACAGAATGAAATGTGTACAGTCCAGCTGTTTTTAAGACTTTGATTTCTGCAGTTCTGAATCCCACTTTACTTCTAGAGAGCCTTTAATTAAAAGTAAATCATTCCACAATTCTGCTTCCTTTCCAGTTTGCATAATGCCATGGTTCAAATGTATTCCTATATGTACCAAATTTCATGTGTTGGAAACTTAATCTCCATATATTTATAGATTTTAAAAGAGGGTTAGATGAGATCATGAAGTTGGGGTCTCCATGATGGGATTAGTGGCTTTATGAGACAAGGAAGAGAAAAAGAGACCTGAGCTAGCATGCTTGTTCTCTTTCCATGGGGAACCTCCTGCCACATCATGTCATAAAATGCAGCAGGAAGGCCCCCACCAGATGCCAGCATCTTAATCTTGGAACTTCCCAGACTCCAGAAAATAAATTTGTTTATAAATTACACAATCTTCTTTTATGTTCTCAGAAAAGAAGGCTGACTAGCTTTGACTTCTTCTAAATTGCTACTATGACAATACATCAAATACATCACATACTACAGATGTAATAGAACATGTTTGACCATTACCATAACCACTCAGGATATTGGGTTTTTGTTTTGGTTTTTTTTTAATGGTGCTGGGGATTGAAGCCAGGGCCTTGTGCATACTAGGCAAGCACTCTACCAACTGAGCTAAATCCCCAGCACTGTTTCTTGGGTTTTTGACTCTATAAACATATAATCCTAACCATTATCTGTTCTCACTCCACTTTATTCATTCTTTTTTTTTTCCCTACCTGATTCTTTCTGTCTGTCTCTTAATTCCAACTTTGAATCTCCTGTTGTAACACTCTTGTATAAATGTCTCCTCTTTCTAGCAGTCATCTACTACCTCCTGGGTCAGTCTTTGAAGATTTTAGTTCCTATATCATTGTCACTCACTGCAGCTCTACTCACAACTGTTGAGATACTTATGAATGATCCCTTCATCACTTTTCCTCCTTACTTCCAATGATTTTTTTCTCTCCATACTGCCAAAACCAATTGCCTCCATTCATAATCATATTTTTAAGTTAATTTTTCTTTTCTTTGCGTGCGCTCTCTCCCTCCGCCCCCCTCTGAAATTCTAGCTATGTTGTCTAGGCTGGAACTCCTGGACTCAAGTGATCCTCCCACCTCAATCTCCTAAGTAGCTGGAACTTCAGACACCCATCACCATGCCTGGGATTAAGTTTTTCATTAGCAGTTCAACAGTATCTCAATTTTAATCATCCCATTTTCTGATTATCAATTCTTATCTTTGCATCTAACTCCCTCTAGTAAGTTAACTCCAATAATTTGCCTGCTTTCTCATATAATTCATTTATCCCACTATTTCAAAAGGTAAGGAAATTTATCTTTTCCTTAGCAGCTTAAATTACATTTTTGTAAGTTTTTAGTT